CAATTAGGGGTAGGAGTTTATATGAATGCATGTCTGAGGGGAACTTACTGTCTTTCAATAGTATTTTGTCTTTTCCTCTTGCCTCTGTATAATGCATATTAAAGTTCTTAAGTGCAACGCTGCTTTGTTTACAGCGGAAACCAAGGAAACGCTTTAATCGCCACCTGCTGGCAGAGAGCCACTGTGTCTCTCAAACTCTCTCTTTCCCCTCTGGTCAAATCCATCACTAGATCTTGGATATCCTGGGCCTCGGGCTCCTCGCCCTCTTCCTGTACCTCTTCCTCTGACAGGCCTGTCCAGCACATCCACAGGCCTACACACAGATGAAGACAGATCGAGCGGCATGCAAAATAAATTCAGGAAGATTAATAAAAAATAAAGACATTTATTAACACGTAATTCGAGTCACTTACCTCTCAACAGAGAAACTGAGGGGGGTGTCGGCGTCGCTGAATTTGCGCTCAAAAGTCACGCGTCTCTCTATTCGCTCCTCAACTTCTCCACGAGCAAGACGGACTTGGCCTAGAAATTTGGACCGAATACACAACAAACTAAACGTAAACACTTTAAACGCTTAAAACATCAGCAACCAGGGTACCTTACATTTAAACTCATAATATCTTCCAGGGGTTAATTAAATTAGTCGATAATTTATTAAAAGAAATGCTTGCGTCGAATAAAATTAGCCCGTCCTTCACATACCTTGTCCACCTCCATCTACTGGAAGAACGATTTTCCTGTCCCTTTGAGACTCTTTCTTTCCAGTCGTGGTTGAAGTTTTCTTTGGATCCTCTTTCTTCTTCTTCTGTTTCTTTTCCCCCCCTGCCGCGTATACGATGTCGAAAGGGTCGGATTCATCGTCCAGCAGTCGGCCGAAACGATTAGCAACGGCGCATCCATATCCTTCATCAGGCATCTCCTCTACTAACTCCTTCATTTTGATCGATTACCGCAAGGGAAATGAAATAATCGAGTTACTGTCATCGAAGGACTACAAATACAGCAGAACTAAACTCTGTTTATCTCCTAAAGAGAAAAAATGGAGGCGTTAAACTTTGCCCAAAGATTGTGAGCACAAATGAACGTAGCCGTCAGATGTGACGTTCAGTTAATTGAATTCAGGTTCATATGTAAGCAATTAGTCTCCGCCCCGGAAGTCAACTTAGTTTCCAGGACGTGCTCATTAATATTAATTACACACGTTCGACTATTATTTGCTGTCATATTATTGAATATACCTGGTGGATTTTTTCCGGCCTATTTTATTGCCAATTTTTGTGATGTAAATGTGAACCAGACTAAAACTATGAATCTATTATCATTCTGCTATAAAGTAGGTACAATTTCTGATTATACCTTCATGCTTCTGCAGATATGTATGACTTTGTTTCATATACTACTCACACAAAAATATTCATAATAAAGCAGTCTGATATGCAAAAAAGACTGTTTTTTTCAAAGGTTTTGTGAAATTAATTAGATCAAGCAAACTTTAGAGATAACCAAAGAATGTTTTTAAGGATGTTTAATGTTATTACAAAGTAGAAATTAAATGTTATATATATATATATATATATATTGCAGTAACCAGTCTGTGAAGCACACACAGGATTGTGGGACATCACAGACACCAAAAAATACTATTTAAACATGATTATTAATAATTCAATGAAAATGGTTTAAAAATATATTTAATGGGGAAAAAAAAGACAGAAGTAGTTCTTCATGATGTTTTTATTGCCGTCACACACAAGCATTGATTCCCAGTCTAGGTTTGAAAATATAATTGTTTACACAATTAAAAATACAGAAGCATACAAACTCTTAATTCATTCAGCTTGCCAAATAAGACTACAGATCATTAGCTATGAACATAATGCTATGCATTACAGAAACTATTTCAAACAGCCCTGAAAAAAAGATGCAGTGTTTAATTCAGTGTAACCTTTGGTCTTGCAAATATGTAAGAATTTACATGGTGTATTTACATTTATGTTGTTTAAGATTTCTATGATCCACAAACTTCTTCCCACAGCTCTCACAACTAAACGACTTCAGACCGGTGTGCACTCGCTGATGGGTCCTCAGATGCACAGCCTGATTGAACGTCTTACCACAAACATCACAACCAAAAGGTCTCTCCCCCGTATGGATTCTCATGTGCATCTGAATACTGCTGGAATACCCAAACCTCTTTCCACAAACCTCGCAACTATACGGCTTTTCCTTCGTGTGAACCCTCTGGTGTACTGTAAGGGCGGCTTGTGAGTAGAACTTCTTTTGACAATGATCGCAACTGAACTTCTTCAACAAAGGACTGACCAGTCGCTCGTGATGCTTCTCTCCTGTATGTACAAGCATGTGCTGATTAAGAGAACTGGGGAATATGAAAGCCTTATTACAGATCGAACACACACAATCCCTTCTTCCTGCGTGAATGATTCGCTTGTGCCTTTTCATGTAGTCTGAACTGGTAAATCCCTTACCGCAAACGTCGCAAAGAAACGGTTTGCTTGAAGTGTGTTTGTGCATGTGCATCTTCAGGGCGTACGCTGTGGTGTACCTTTTCAAACATATCGGACAGCCGTACAGCTTCACTCCCGTGTGACCGGCTTTGTGCCTGTTGAGGTTTCCAGAGGTGGCGAACTTCTTATCGCATACGTCGCAAGCGTATCGCTTTTCCCTTGTGTGCACGAGCATATGCGCTTGCAAATGTTTGCGAGCGCTGAACCGCTTGTCGCAGAGTTCGCACGGATAGTCGAAGGTTTTCTCGATGTGACTCTTCTGGTGATTTTTCAAATATCGCTCGCAGCTATAAAAAGCGCCACATATCTCGCAACAGTAGGGCTTCTCGCCGTTGTGCAGTGTTTGGTGGTCAAGCATGTTTTGTTTTATTTTGAACTGCTTGTCACATACGGGACAGTTGTAGAGCGTTTCGACTGCTTTGCATCTGTGTCTGCCGAACGAACGCTTGCCGGGAAAAACCTTCTGACAGTTTGGACAAGTAACCGTCTTTTCTGCCGTATGAAGACGCTTGTGCTTTTCCAGGGAGGCCTGAAATACAAAAGACTTGGAACATATATCACATTTGAATAGCTGAGCTCCAGTGTGCATCGCTGCGTGTCTGATGAGGCAGCTTCTCATAGTAAAGCGCTTATCGCAGTGCGAACATTTGTAATGTTTCACATGAGCCCGAACGTGGTTAATGAACTTCCACCTCAGTTCAAAACACTTCCCGCATGTTTTGCATCGGAACAAACCATCATTCGACTGCTTTATCATATCCGTGTTAGGTGTGGTGTTGGGCTGGTTGTCTGTGTTTTCGATGGTAATATTTAAACCTTGCACAAATGATTCGGTCGCATACTGACTGCTTTCCAAAACAGCACAAGATACGTCTTCGTTGTCCAAGTTACTTTGGAGGATTTCTGTGAGGGGAAGAACACAGAGTGTTTAAGAGAAACAGACTGAAAAATTTAATTAAAATAATTATACTTTTTAAAAAAAAATAAAAATATTGGTCATTATGGGTGCACCCAGTAATTTTTCACTCATTGCATTTTACATAAATTAACAATAAAAAAAGACTGTTTTTAAATAAATATTAAAATCATGTACATGACAGTTTTACATACACTACTATTCACAAGTTTTACAACTATTTATTTTTAATTTGTACTTTTATTAAATAAGACCACGTTAAATTGACCAGATAAAGTGGAAATGAATACATTAATAATTCTACAAGAGAATCTATTTTAAAGAGGTCATATGATGCGATTTAAATTTTTCCTTTCTCTTTGGAGTGTTACAAGCTCTTGGTGCATAAAGAAGATCTGTAAAGTTGCAAAGACTAAAGTTTCAAATCCAAAGAGATATTCTTTATAAAAGTCAAGAGTCAACCACGCCCTCCTAAAACGGCTCCTTCTAACACACCCCCACCCACATATCTACCTCACTATGTGGAAATATTAGCATAATGCCACCCAAATGTGCACGCAAAGAAAGAAGGCGTGGTTTCAGGAACAGCAGTAGTGTTGATGCAGCCATGTCAGGGAGACGCTGTGTGATTCAGTGCGAAAGCAAAAGCACTTTATTTGGCCTTCCGGATGTAGATGCAATTAGGAATCATTGGTTAAGATTTAGAAAAATAATGTGTTTTTTGAACATTAAAGCATGTCAACATATTCTGTTACACCAAATACACAAAATAATTATCTTTAAAATAGCATCATATGACCCCTTTAAATAAATGCTGTTTTGTTAACTTTCTATTCCCCAAAACTCCTGAAAAAAATCTATCAGTTTTCAAAAAAGTATTGAGCAGCACAACCATTCCTAACATCATAAAAAATAAAAATATTCCTTACACCAAATCAGCATACTAGAATGATTTCTAAAGGCCAAACAAAGTAGTTTCGCTTTCAACGAAACACACAGCGTCACACACGGCGGCCTAGAGTGAGCGGAGGTTAGAATGAGCGGCGGCCGGCGGATTCGACGAAGGAGCGGCCGGCAGGCTTGTGGCAACCACATGTGACGACCCCGGGCTGGACTCCGCTTCGTTCACGGTGAAAGCCGATCCGGCGATCCACAGCGCAAAGTTGATGTATTCCCTCAGCGACCAGCACGGATCAGCTCCAGGCATGACGAAGCGGATATCGTCCTCTTTTGGAAGGCCAAACAAAGTAGTTTCGCTTTCACAACGAAACACACAGTGTCTTCACGACATGGCGGCAGCAACAATACTACAGCGAGAATAAAAGTTACGCCTTCTTTCTTTGCGTGAACATTTGGGCGGCGTTATGCAAATCTTCCCACATAGTGAGGTAGATATGTGGGGGCGTGTTAGAACGAGCCATTTTAGGTAGGCATGCTACTCTTGACATAAATTAATAATTCAAGATACTGCATTTACACTGATTTGTGCCAGTATACAGTCCAAGACTACCATATTGTACAGAGAAACATATTTCTAAACAAACCTTTAAGCACTGCATTTGAAACCATGCCTTACCTTGTGTAGTGACCTCTAGTGTTTCCAGGGATGTATTGACAGTATCACAGGTTTCGAGCTGCACAATGAATTCTTCTTCATTCAGAGTGGCTTCGAACTCAATACTCAAATCTGGAGTTGTGTGAAATCTCTGATGTTTCATCAAGCATTTCATCATTTTGAAAGTATTTCCACATGTCAAACAATTGAAAGGTCTGTCTTTGTGTAAAGCATTGTGAATGTTTAACAGGGCCATTTCATTGAAAGATACTCCACAGGACTCACAAATTAATGGCTCCTGTCTCTCCTCAGCAGCTACATTTGTGCTTGTGGAAGGCTGGCTTTCACTCAAACTGCTTGCCAGAATATCAGTGGGTGCAGATGACAGCTGATGGTACTGAGTATTTGCTGCTTGTACAGAGTTTTCATGATGTTCAGATTCCATTTCATAATCCTTGTTCTGTTCAGGCTCAAGAAGCACATTATTTTCTGGCTCAGATGCAGCTGCTTGACCCTCTGTGAGAATATAATGAGAAAAAAAAAAATGTTTTGTTTGTTTGTTTGTTTTTAAATATCATACTAAAAATCTTAAATTCATAATATAAACAAATACACAATATTTTATAATGATAATAATAATAATAAGGAATAAACTGACGTTCTCTAAATGTAAAGGTATATGGAGTAAACAATGAGTTGTATTAGCAACAGTTCAAAGTTTAAAAATACAACTTCGATCTGATCTCCATTACTTTTTAATTCATTTTACAAAAGAAAGAAAGAAAGAAAGAAAGAAAAAACTGTATTTTCTGATCAGGCTGCTCATTATTTTGTCTTGTTTTCCAATGCAAATTTCTACAGATACATTAATTGAGCAGGAAAATGACATAAGTCTTGTTTTCTGTGAAATTGATGAAAATGAAGTGAGTATATTATTAAGAGAAGAATAAATATCTGCCAATGGGCTCAGAAAAACAACTTAATTAGAAGGAAAAACAAGTTTTCATATACAGCATTGACAGATATTTGTTTTAATCATAAACTCACATAATTTTGATACATATTCTAAGACCTTATTTTACATTTGCATCTCAAGTAGCCTAAATGTTTCAGAAA